CTTTCATTAATTATCCTCGTCCATATAGTCGTCGCTTACTCTTTTTTTTTTTTTTTTTTTTTTTTTAACGCGGTTTTTGTCGCGCGGTCTTTTTAAAAACGACGGCGTGACGGATCATCGTCGGTTCTTGTTCGGCAAGATCTCGCAAGAAGGATAAGACAGACAGATTGATAGCGGGATAAGAGAAGCTCATCGTGTTGGAGAGAAAGACGGAGACGCTTCAAAGCGCATCGCACGGTATTCATCAAACGTAACAATCGTCTCAAAAGAGATAATTAAACGCGACTTTAAAATTGAATAGTTTGAAAAAAAAAAAAAAAAAAAAACGCTACTGATTTCTGTCGTCTCGCGCCGACGCACTTGTCTCGTATTTTTGTATTATTCATCTGAAAAAAAATCGTATAAGATTCGCTCGCATCTTTTCACCAGGACGACGGTTTGAAATGAGCAACAAAAACGAGAATCAGGGGGTGAAGGAGAACGCCGGAAAAGCGCGGGAGACGCTCGCGCGAATGTTATTCATGAAAATGCAAACCGCTTAGGGTCGCTTTTACGAGGGGAACCTCTTCAAGTCCCCGGGACTGGGGTAGGGGAACGGAAAGGATGAAGAGGCGGCGCGGGGGAAGTGGAAGAGAAAGAGGTTTCCGCGCGAGAGCGTCGCTTGCGCCATTCGTGTTAATCCCTGAAGAATAATTTGAAGCGACCACTTAAACGGCGTTAAAGGATAAAAGGCGGGATATTCGTGCGCGCGCGGGTAATCGGGGGGGAAAACCTGCGCGCAAATTTTTTGTGACATATTTATCTAGCAAAGCGGCTTAAAAAGCAGTAAGTTTTCGAATGCGCGCGCGGAGAAGGGATAAAAACAGGGATATATATGTATGTGTGTTCTTTTATCATCGCCCAGCTCGCGCATAACGCACCTCGTATCTCGAATGAAAGCGAGCTTTTCGATATCGGAACGACTTGTGGGACAAACCGACAAAGAAGCTGATGCCGTGCGCCCGCGAAAGCCGAATGTCGCCGATATCGATGTTAATGTTTCCCTCCCGGAGTCGCGCCGCGCGACGATACTCCAAGCGGAGTCAACGGGCGTCGTTGTCGAAGGTTTTTGAAGATGTCTTTCTCGCCAATCGAAAATCGATACCGCCGTATCGTTAAAGACTTCTCTGTCGCTTTTTACACGTTATCGCGGAACGGAGAACGAAAAGGATAAAGCAGACGTGCTGTGGAAAGAGCACGAGAGGACGAGGGAGGGAAGAGGGAGAAAGGGCGCGCGCTTCAATAACGTTATCGGAGAACGGGAGTTAATTAATTCGAGCGAAGAATTGAATTTTCACAGGCACCGTTTGTATTAATCGTTATCGCGCATCTTCGTACGTGATCTTGCCGCTGTTCGTCCGTTTATTTCGCGAGCGCGATATTAAATGTGCGCGTCGTTTTTTTTTTTCTTTTTTTTTTTCGGTTCACACAGATCAATCGCCTAGAATCGACGGCCCGGAGCGACGTTTCTCTTATTTTCGTCGTCGATTATAACGCGCGCGATACTGTGATCCCGAAACTCGACCCGCAAAGAGAAAGTAGGCCTCGTAAAATCGATCGGTCCGAAAAAAAATCGCGGTCAAATGGATTTCCCGCTAATGCGCGTTTATTTCGACGTCGGCGCGTCGGGAATCGGCGCGGTATTGTCGTCGTCGTTGTTGCGTGGCTAATGAAGACTAACGAGAGAAACGGCGGCTTTACCCCTCCCTCCCACCCTCCCTCCCCCCACAAAAGTGTGTGTCCGGTTAATTAATCTCGCTCGTGCACGACGAGAACGAAACCACTGTTAAATCCCCCTCCCATCCCGAGTGCCCGAGCATTGGATTTTGTCGATCGTTGTGCGCTCTCTTTCATAGAAACTTCGTTATTCTCGTTGCATCGCATTTGTACCTCCGCCCTCCCGGGCTTTTTGAGCGTAAAAGTTTATGTGCGTGTATATAGATCGCGCGGAGCGCGCGTGTATGATATATCCAGACAGAATATATGCGTTTTGCGGACCGTTATTTCAACAATCTGTTATCGTGCGGATGCGTGTTAATTAGCTGTGGGAGAAAATATCGTGCGGCCGCGACGATTTACAACACGAGCGTGAGAAGCCGCGCACGTGGCTCCCAGGCACATTATCGGCGACCCGGTTAATAGAGTCCGCCATAACTACGCGTGGAATTTAATGACCGAATCGTAAGGGGTTAATTAATGATGATCACGAGACGCATTAGTATATGTAGGATAATGACGATCTTTGACCGGCGAGATTAACCGATTGCGGCGGATCGTAGAATTTGTCTGTCAAAATAATGATGTTGCATTTTGAGGTAACTGTCTGGACTCTCGGCAAATGGTCGGCAATTTTACTAACGCAAATATTTTGTTGTAATTATTTGTTTAACAAATTAAATCGGTGGCGCATGTCTGATTATTGATACAGTTAACTAATTATTTAACGGTAGTTGTTATACAATTCTTTTCGAATATTGACAATAAAAATCTTTTAAACTTCAAAAAAAAAAAAGAAAAAAAAAGCTATTTCCCGTAGACATAAATTTAACGAAATATTCTGAGACAAGTAATACACCAGGTTACCACGCTTCCACATTTTATCATTGATAAGTAATACTCGTTCTTAAGTAGTGGCAAAGGAAGTTGCGACACTCCCGATCCAACTTGACATAATCCAGTGTAATGGAAGTTACAATTTAGCTTAACATCACATTGCACTCGATACCGCGTCGTCATAAACTTGCCTCGAACTTTCGAGTTTTCGTTAATACCTTTCAACCTCGCCGCGCGCGACACGGCAAAAGTTTCTGCTCGAAGAGAGACCAAGTACTACCTGAATGCCTAACGATTGTTCGACGTTAAGTACTTGCTGGCTCATATCGCGGTTAAGAATGCAAGAAAGTTGCGCGCACGCCACAAACTGGCGTCGTGCGAAACGCGGTTTGAAGTCTTTGTCGTTCGGTTGGCGGCGAGCTGTGTGAAACAGCAGCGGAAAACTTCAACATTAAATTCCACGGTATATATATTGCGAACTCTTCCGCGTGTAACAAAAAAAAAAAAAAACAAAACAAAACAAAACAATCAAACAAATTACCGCGACGCGTTGCGCGCGCGGAATCATCGCTCCGACAATCACCGGAAGTGATTAACATCCGAAACGCTTTCCGGATGTTGATTGTTTATCGGCAATAATAATCAGAAATGCGACAAGAGCAAGTAAATAAAGTGACAATTCGAAAACAGCGAGACACCGTGGCGGACACATTCGGCGGCGGGTTTCGATGATGAAACACGTCCCGGTGGGATTAAAGGACAATGTTTATCGAGCCGTTCTCGCTTCCTCTTCCTCGCTTTTCCGAGCTCCATCCCACCGCCGATTTACGGCGCGGCGTGTGCATCAAAGTCCACGCGCTGTCGCGTTCCTGAAGAGGGGCGTTTTCGTCAATTGTTCCACGTCGAACAAAGGCGGATCCCGCTGCGGTGCCTATTGTCGGAGCTTTCGGATAAATTCTGTTCTCGAGAATCGCGCTGACCCCCTTCCATCCCCGACCCATCTCTCGTCTGCTTTTCTCTTCCGTCCGGGATCTCGCGCGTCCCTCTCTCGTCGCGATATTCATGAGAGGCGAGCGAGAGAGCTACGGCGAGAGAGCAACAAGTAAGTCGCGTCGCTCCGGATGGTAGGCGGCCACCCTTCTTTTGTTTCCGCGACGGTAACGACCGGCCCGCCCTCTCCCCCCATATTGTACATACCCACGCGCTCTCTGTGTGTATCTTTTAAACAATATCGAGACGAGATGGGTACTTAAACTCCGTTTAACGTGCGCGGGTAAACGCCGCGCGATGAACGAGATCGCTCGCTCGTGGAAAAAGTGGGACAATTATTACCAGAGGGCAATTAAGAACTTTCTTACGCGCGCGCGCGCGCGCACTAGCTGCTTTGGCACGCAACTCGGTTATCTTTTCTTTCTAAAGGAGAGTCTCCGCGCGACGCGATTTAAAGTCGAGTGAGGAAACTCGCGTAAGTTTCCGCCGCGGTGAGAAACGGTAACGTTACCATAAAACGTTTTTCCGAGAAACGGCACAAAGCGCGGCATCGAGGTGCTTTTTTTATTAAATGGAACGAGATAAACCGCGCGATGTGTAAAACGGAAGGGAACGCGCGTCTCATTTTGTTTCACAAAAATCTCGTCCAACAATCTCGTCGTGGACATCTCTTTCTCTTACGTCTCTCCCGTAACTTAAAAGAAAGAAAGAAATATCCGCAATGTGTTAATTATAGATTTCGATATGTCCACTGTTGCGAGTATCGTTACATATAGCCCGTTGATGCGTGCGCCGCGTAAATACCGCGTAAAGGTGAAAATATTACGTGAGATCGGGTCAACAGGAATATAAAAATATTATGGATCGATATAAACGATACGCGAGTGTGTGCGTGTGTGTATGTAAAATCCCATCTCGTCCGTTGTGGCTGCAACAACACACCGTGGATAGGATGATAACACGCAGGCGCGCGCGTTGCGAATTTTCGAAATATTGATTATTCGCGCGACGCGAGAACAGAATTTTTCCGACGTTTTTTCTTCGCGATTTTCGATTACGAAGACTGACGTTGTTCTCACACATCCGTACGTAACCGCATCTCGGTGACAACAATTTACAATGTAATTTTAACTCGCAACTAGAACAAGAGGATAGCGCGCGATCGACCGACCGTTTTCCGTCGTATACGGAATAGATAATTAGCGTCTGCGCGATGATGCGGTCTTACCGATGAGGGATCGTGTG